GATGGGCTGGACACGCCCTGGAGCCCTCCCGCAGTCTCTCCCTGGCTGGCCAACCTCCCATGTGCCTCCCCGGCCCTGATCGTGCACCAGTGGAGTCCCTTGGCCTGGCCTGCACCCTCTCACAATCCAGGACCCCTTGGGGGATGTTGGAGAGCTGGTTTTGGCCAGATCCCGCAGACCATTCCCCTCGGGAGGGCACCCGAGGCAGGGCTCACAGCTGGCAAGCGCTGCTGGGGCAGTGAGAGCCTCTCCCAATCAGGACTGATTGGGCTTAAACCCACAGCATGTGTACTGTGGCCGGGATGAGCAGGACTAGCAGGTAGGAGCTACAGCAGTGCTGGCTGTGGGTTTCGGCCCAATCCCCGTAGGCCACTCCGAGGGACCCCACCCATGCACGAATTCGTGCACCAGGCCTCTAGTTAAAAGATATTGACTATCAGATTATATTAAAAAAAACAAGTGCAAGTTATAGTTAAGTGTTAGCTGTACAATATACTTAAACCAAAACTCACAAGAGGTTTAAATAAAATGATAGGGACCTAGCTGATTTGGCTCAGTGGATAGAGCGTCGGCCTGTGGACTAATTCTATTCAAGGGCACATGCCTGGGTTGTGGACTCGATCCCCAATAGGGAGCGAGCAGGAGGCAGCTGATCAATGGTTCTTTCTTATCATTGATGTTTCTATCTCTTTCTCCTACTCCCTTCCTCTCTGAAATCAATAAAAATACATTTAAAAATTAATTAATTAATTAATTAGTTAAATGATGGGAAAACACACCAGGCAGGTATAAACCTAAAGAAAGCTGAAGTAGCAATTTTAGTTATGGCAATATTTAATGTAAATATAAAGAGAGATAGAGAGACAGCAATAGAGACAGGAAACACAGAGAGCATGAGCACCAGATAAAAGTGTGTGTGTTTGCATGTGTGCGCACGTGCACGCACATATAGGGATGAAAAAATAAAAATATTTAAGATGTTTATAAAGTTGTAAAATGATAGCTATTACTATATTCAGTTAAATCAATTGCAAGATGCTATATACTTTTTAGAATAATGTGAATTTTAGAAAAGGCAAGAGAAATATGAGCACAATGGGCTATAAATGAGTTGTGTTTGTTTTTTAAAGGATTGAAAAAAAATTAGCTGCATAGACCGAAAAAAA